ACTTGACTGGCACGTCCCTGTAAGGATTCAGCAGTACGGTGTGATGCGTTTGTGGTGGGATTTCATTTATCTAGCAGGTCCCAGGGGAAAAAGCGCAGCAGATGTGATGTTTTTGGCGCCAGATGTGAAGCGGTACACGTTTCCCCAGTTGGAAGCATGGCAGTGTCTGGCTGGCTGTCAGGCTGGCTCTGCTTCAGAAAGCACAGAGGCAGCCCCTGTATGCTGTGTGTCTGTGTGTGTGTGCATTTGAAGGCTCATTCTGTGTATCTGATGTGTGAACACCCCAGTTTGAGGCCTATGCGGTGGTGAATGAAACACTTGTGGCAATTCATGATTCTACGTCCACCATATCATCGTCTGCTATCAGGGGACTCTCAAATGTCACAACAAGGAAAGGGCTCTCCCACACACCGACATGTCCCTGCCTTTGACACACGCTGCCGTGGTGCGCCTGCAGGTCAGGGCTGCACTCGAAGAAGACCCTCTCTCTGCGAGCCTCGCCTCTGATGTGGACTGAGATCGACCGCTGAGTAAATTCAATAGGTTTTAATGAGGTACAAGGCTGAGCTTTCCACCTGAGCTCACTCGTCTATACCAATCAGAGGGCTGCTTGTGAAAACACTGCTGGTGCTGTACCTTGTGTTGTTACACAGAATAAATGCATACAGCTCATTAAAGAAATGACCACTGCTTCATAATTCTCAAAGTCTGAACAGAACAATACCAGTTGATTGGTGTTGTTTTTAATTTGATTCAGGAAACATGATCTGCAAAAAAGTACACAACGTACTGCTGTAAACAGTTGCAAAGTAAAGTTTGTGAGGCCCCCGGGAGCTACAATAACTTCTGAAATGATTACCTGTGTGTTCAGTAAAGAAAACATATCCATGTGTTCTTAATCTTGCCAAAATTAGTTTGCTGTTGTGACTGAGATTAGGCATTATTTTACAAGTAATCAATACAAATATGGTATTTTAAAATTGTCCTCTAGACCTGAGAAGCTATTAACACATTGTATACTAACTTGAAGTAGCGATCATCTGTTTTTCTTTCCCCCACATTAAACAAAACTGGCTCATTTGTATGTTTCTTTCAGAGGTCCAATGATTAGAGCTTATACCTGCTGGTGGTGCGGGTGAAGAACGGTCTATCGTTGACTGAGGGGACAGACTCGTCCATAAGCGGATACGACTTGATGAAAGTCAGGGTCTCGTCTGGGAAGGTGGTGGAGGACTTATAAGTGACTGCAGAGCCTTCACCTGCACAGCTGCCTGGCCTGTGCAATAACAGTAAAAAAAAGAAAAAAAAAAACAAGACATAAATCCTGTTCAACAAGCACAGATGCAAAAACACTTGCAACCCATTTGTTTTTCTAAGACGAGCTGCAGGGAGAACAGGTGCCATATGTGTCTGTTTTGCTTTATTATTTTATATTTTCCACAGACGTCTAAGCAGAATAATAACAGCAGCTGCAAAAACTCTTTTGTCAAACACACATAAACATGCTGTAGAAAAGTGACAGTTTGCAGTTTAAAGACACATTACTCACCTCGGCTTTGGAACTTGCTCTTCTAGAACAGGTGTCCATGCTGACTCACTGTTTCTCTGCTCCTTGAATTTTCCATTAAAGGCCTTCTCTATATCGTCCATGTAAAAACCGCAGACCGCAGAGCCAGTGATGCTGTTCAGCAGGCCCCAAAGGAAGGAAACATTGAGATGATTGAAGTGTAGGTCTGAAGCTCAGCAACTTGTTACTAATTTCAAATGAAGGTTCTTTTCTTTTTTTAATAAAACATACATTTAATTTCAGCACACCTGCTATCATGTATAGGAGGGGTTTAATAAAAGCGAATGCCACCTAAATATATCTCTTGGCAGTATCTGGATAGAGTCTGACTAAGAAGCTAAACGCATGTTGGCAGAAAGCTGAGGGTTTAGACATTTAGTGCACTCATCTCTATGCTCTGTATTTATCCGTTTTAGGGTCCGTATTTATGCATAGCCTTATAATGTAAGAAATGGTCTCAAATGTTAAACCCTGACTTGATGCTCCAACTATCATTCCAAAATACAGCACCCTTCATACTTACTAGCACAACTAGTTAAGATGTGGAAAAGACTTAAAATAAATTAACCTGTTATTGCAGTAGCCCAACTTTACACTCAACAACATTTACTCATTATGGGGATAAAATATACAATGTTAAAGGAAATAATAAATAATTTCACCAAAATCACTGCACTATTGATATTGCTAATAATCTATAATAAATAAATGTAACTTAAGCATTATTCTAATTTATACCATTTCCTAGCCACTCTTCAAATGCATGATTGCCATTACACCATTATAAATATACTTTTATATGTATATTTAATGTATATTTTTCATGCTAACCTGTTATTTTTTTTGGTACAGATTACAAATTCTATCCTCAGTCAGTCAGTCATTTTCTACCGCCTATTCCATAGTGGGTCGCGGGGAAGCTGGTGCCTATCTCCAGCAGTCTATAGGCGAGATACACCCTGGACAGGTCGCCAGTCCATCACAGGGCAACACACAAACAACCACGCACACACTCATTCATACACCTAAGGGCAATTTAGAGTGACTAATTAACCTAACAGGCATGTCTTTGGACTGTGGGAGGAAGCCAGAGTACCCGGTGAGAACCCATGCATGCACGGGGGAGAACATGCAAACTCCATGCAGAAAGACCCCGGCCGGGAATCGAACCCAGGACCTTCTTGCTGCAAGGCAACAGTGCTACCAACTGCGCCTCCGTGCAGCCCAAATTCTATTCTATTCTATTCTATTCTATTCTATTCTATTCTATTTTACTGGCTTCTGGAAATACCAGGACATTCTCAATAAACCACTGGTGGTCTCAGCCAGAAAACTGAAGAAAAAAAATGGATCCAAAACATATGGCCAAGCCAATACTGGATTGATTTTACCAGACGAACCAAACTTTTTTCCTATTGCTTTTTCAGTCCCTACACATAAATTCTGTATAAAACCTCTGGGGTAAACTGAAGGTAAGACTGGATAAGAGATGTTCCAGAGAGATTGTGCAGAGAAGAGACACTAATGGCGCCATTAGGGTTCCCTCTTTCTGTATACTCCAACCTTGGCAAAAAGAGGTTGAAAGAATTAAAAGAAGGGTGGCAAATAGCTTTGCCATTTGTGGAGATTTGGTAAAAAAAGAAAGATCTAATATGTTGTCAATACCAACAAATTTAAACTGAATGGGAATTTATACAACAAACTTCAATGTAAAGTAAAATTAGCTGCTTTAGTCTTCCAATGTCTTCATCCAACCCTTCAGTAAGGGAGGAGAACCAGAGCTGCTTGAATAACTGATTGCACGGTAAGGTTGTTACTGATGCACGACAGATGTATCTAAAGTGAGGATCTTAATTCAGATATACACAAAATAACCTTAAATAATTACTTAACCATAACTGTAATTAAAAGGTGCTGCTGTGGAGAATCCCTAGATCCTGGGACCAAAAAAATGTAAATATTTCTCTCAGTATCTGCATTTGTTCAACATTCGCATGGCCATAACACAGCAGTACATATACGGTATATCAGTGGTATGACCTTCCATTAGAAAGATCTGGGTATTGGCTTAACAAAGTCACATCCAGATAATCTTCCTTATCCTCACCTGTTTGCTTGTGTGGTAAAAACTCCAAGGACAGTAGGCCGGTGGTTTATCTGGAGGACATTGGTCAGCGACTGCAGAACATCAAAGTAAAAGAAAGAATCTCCAGGTACGGAGCAGTTTAGCCGGGCTTTCAGGAAAGATGTCCAGTAACGTTCTAGGACCCTCGGTGAACCCCCGTTGTCATTCTTACACACTCGTGCAACCCTGGAGAAAACGACCTGAGGAGGCAGGAGTGAAAAAGTACTTTACCTCAAACAGATGCTTTAAAAGCCAACACAGCCAGACAAAGCCAACGAGGAACAGAGAACCACAGTTAAAAATGTGGTCTGCATGACAAGCGAGGCTGTTGTTGGAGTTTATTCTGCTCAGAAGAAAGCTCATGATCCCCCTCACCTTGCCGAGGGTGGTGTACTCCACTGCAATCTCGCTGAAGAAAAAGTACACGTAATTCCCATACTCAATAGCGTGGAGAAAATGGGGTTCTAAAGATGGAGAAAAAGGCATATCATAAACACATTTTGAATTATGGCTTATTTAAAATACAGTTCAGCTTCATGAGCAGTCTGGAAGTGAATGTGGTAAACACAGGGTTCAAAGAAAACTGTCTCTTCGGTGTGCAACTCCAAATTTGCATATCGGGAGAGAGACAGAAGAAGAAACAGTCAACAGAAAACTATTAACTACTGAAAGAGCACAGATGGTCCAGGATCAACGGTCACACTGATATCATTATAATCAGTTCGAGTTAAAAAAGCAGCAACCTGACACAGCACTTTTTCTTACTTGTTTATCCATATTCAATTTTTTCAAAGTCTCCTAAATAAAATAATTTTGATTTAATATTGTTTTAGATTTTGACATTTGTTACTGCATTTTAAGTCTGTAAAGTAACTGAGGTCCAAAAATCAATAATCACAAATAATGTTCTAAACTAGGTATTACAGTCAACCCTCTGGATCCAGTCAGGTCTGAAAATATGGTTTCTAAATATGAATTGATTCCAGATCTCCCAGGACAGTTTTTTTCAAAAGTGGTGGAGGAAGAGCTATTTTCTTCCAGGGTATTTTTAGACGTGTTAGGAAAAGTACAAGACATCTGTGTATGGCATCATCCAAACAAAGCTGTTGCATCTGACAGCCATAACTCTGTACAATAATGATGTTAGGACAGATTTTCATTACATTGTTAAGCACAGGTGGAAGGGGCAAAAAATATCTATGGAGAATCCTTGTTAAGCACGATAAAGATAATGATGCCTGAGATGTCGGTGCAGCAAAAAAGTGATACGAGTTATGTTAATTATTAGTTGCTCTACATTTATAGGGCTGCACGGTGGAGCAGTTGGTAGCACTGTTGCCTTGAAAGTTAGAAGGTCCTGGGTTCAATTCCCTGTCGGGGGTCTTTCTGCATGGAGTTTGCATTTTCTCCCCATGCATGCGTGGGATCTCTCTGGGTACTTTCTCCCACAGTCCAAAAACATGACTTTTAGGTTAATTGGTCTCTCTAAAATGCAATTATATGTAAATGGCTGTGTGCATACTTGTTTATCTTTTGTGTCTCTGTGATGTCCTGCGATGGACTGGCGACCTGTCCAGGGTGTACCCTGCCTCTCACCCGTAGACTGCTAGAGATAGGCAATAGCACCCCCAACAACCCCGTATAGAGCAAGCAGGTATAGAAAATGGATGGATGTTCATTTATAGTTCACCATTAAGCTCTTCCAGCAGGTGTTTTTATATAGAATTAATGGCTTTGTTTGTCAAACTCTGATTTTGGGGGCTGAAGAATTTACTTTTGATTTATTTATTTTCAGAAGGGAAATTAGTTCTAAATACAAACAACATTATAATTATAATACAAAAAATATTTTATTTGGAAGGGTGATTGTACTCAGAAATCACAATATCATTACTATAAATAAAGATTGTTAAAGTAGTCTGTAACATTATTGATGAGTTGTCAGGGAAACCAGGACCAAAAGATAGAAATATAGCATGCAGATGCATAAGTACATTATTCAGGCTTGATGCTATTTTAATAAGTGAGATGTACAATCACTTCACCCTTTAGAAAAATGATCATACTTTACATTCTGGAGATTTTTTTTGTTCAGGCAGGCAACTTTGTAGAAATATTACACAAGTACAAATTAAACAGTAGAGAATTAATCAGCAATCGGCAACTGTGAAAATATTATCCAGTCATCTCATCAAATAAGGCCCATTGTTCTCAAAGTTTCTCCAACCTGGTTCCACAAAACAGCTTATTGAGCAGCAACAACCTTTGTCAGTCCTGAAAATTATTTACAGATTTGGTCTGATGTTTTTGACAAATGGAACAAATGTAATGTGACTGGGTCATTTTACATCAGCCTAAAAGCACATTTGGATGATTACCTCTGAGCCACTTGGAGTCATACTTGACTGTACGCAGAACAGGACTACTTTCTCCCAGACTTCTATAAATGACTGCATCGCTGGCCAAGAAGTCCGTCATTGTTGCTGAGTAGAAGTCACCACCTGAAGGACACAGAAAATTAAAAAAGCAGTCACTAAGATGCATTGTCAGAAAGGACAATTACAAATGAAAACTGGCTTGGCTTGAAAAGTGTATTTTGGTAAGAGATGGCTGTTAGTTTATTAAAGGAGGCTGAGTAGAACAGATGTTGGTGAACATGCCAGTCTGAATAGCAGTGAGTGAGAACTCTGTACAAATGTAAGTGGAAACCTGGCAGCTTTCAAGAGCTGCTTTGGTTCTTGCTTCTTCCCTAAGTTTGACCCCAGAGTGCCCAGGGCGTATCACCTGCTAACTTCTCTGCTAACATTAGCAAAGAAACTGTAAATCCAGTCACAAATCAGGACTGAAAGGAGGTAACTATAAATTACACCCATTTAAGAGCCAAACACCACTTTCAGCCATACAAACCTGACATAACATATTCTCCTAGTTTAAGTAATCATGCACTCTGTATTGTATTTTTATCTTCTTCTTTATTATTGTGTTTTAAAGCATAACTTATAGGTGTGGCAAGATCCCATGATAATAAAATCTTACAATATTTGTCATTAAGAAGAAATCTGTCTGGCTATGCACAATCCAATCACTCTACTGTTATTGATCAAACCTGAACTACTTGATTTACAGCACATAGAGGCCCTTTATTGGTGAAAATACAAAAACGATAACAGGACAACTGTAACATCCATTCAGGAAAAACAGATGAAAAATAGTACTCTGGTACTATCTCTGAAATTTTAATAATGTTCATTTAAAAAAAACATTTCAATAATTTCAATGCAATTTTATGTTTAAGATGCAAACCTTCAGATGGCACGTGATTCACAGTGTCCAATTCAGCTCTAAACTAAAGGGTAAATTCATGTTTTTTAAGAATCTGATTTTGTTTCTGATTTTGTTTAATTGCTAAATTGTATAAACCAACACTAAATACAGAATTATTTAAGTGCAGTTTGAGATGTATAAAACTTTTGCTATTTTTGTAAAAGCACAGAAATATTTTTTTACTGTTATTTTTGGCATTCAGACCATCTTATATGGGGCATGAAAATCACAGTACATACAGTTATTTACACTGATTTCAGATCTTTATGAAACAAAACAGCAAAAAATGGTATTCACAGTTTTCATACCCCGTTCAGTCCGGCAAACTCGCCAGGGTGTGTTTGCTTTTTTGTTTTTGCTTAATCGCAAATAAATCAGGCATAGTAACAGTTACAATAGTGCTTCCACTTGAAAAATATTCTTTTAAGTCTTACCTTTACACAGGTACCAACAGTTTGCATGTAGACCTCATAACTGTGGAGCTTGATTTATTTAAGTTATGTAATTCCAGGCGGAAATTGCTCTAAAACCCCTCCGGGCTTAACAGATTAAGAATACTGTGAATGCCTGGGGCTACTTAGTTTTGATAGGCACATCAAAACCAAAAGCCATGTCATTATTTCAAAGGCTTTATAAGACTGCTGTCATTTTAGAAGTTTGTGGGTTTCTAATGGGCATTCCAAAATGCCACAGTAAAAGTTCCATATGCATCAATAAATACATGATGCTAGTCATTGAAATGTACAATCTCCTTTCTTGATATCATATGAAACATCTATGATGCATATAGTACTGTATGGTTGAGAGGGGGAGGGGCTGCATTGAAGTCGGGTCAGACTCAAAATACCCACAACCCTAAATTGCAGAAGAATAGTTGGGAGCAAATTCAAGGTTTCTGCATTTTCTAAGTAGTTCCTGAAATTTTTTAAACAAACAAAACAAAAACAATATTATGACATGTCTTGTTACCAGTCTGATCTGAACAATTATTATCTAACAAAACCAAACAGCAGCAGTGGAAGTTTATTCTTTGAAGGCTTCTTTTGAAAGAAAGCCATTAAAAGTAATGGTCACTTTGCGTTTCTGACCTGCAAAAAGGCCCACATTAGACTGGCGGGACTCAAATGGACATCGCGCCTGCCCCACCACCTCCTCGCCTTCCTGCTCCAGCGTCGACATCTTAAACAGAAAGAAAGCATAATTAGACAATATACTAAGCTTTAAGGCTAAGGGACATAGAGCAAAAACATCTGCAAGGCACTGTCTTGTGGCTGTAGCACTGATGGCAAAAATCAATTTATCTAATATATAAGAGATCTGAAAAAATGTGGTAAAAAATGTAGCTGAATGTGAAGGATGAGTACTAAATCAATCTGTGATAGTAAAAAGCAAAACATGCACCATAAAGATTAGTTTTATTTGATGCATTATATGTGGGTCGTTTCCATAAAAGCAGTGTGTGAAGGTCCCGCTGCTCAGGCAGACAGGGCAGTTTATCTCCCAGCCACAGATATTAGGCTGCTACTTTCCAACCTGCTGTTAACAAGGTTGTAAACCTTGGAGACGACAATGCATGAATCGCAGCAGTCTGTATATGTTTGTGTGTTGTAAAAGCTGAACGAACGTAGAGCAGCTTTGATGCCCTTTGTAGCAGTAAGGTGAAAAAAATATACACATATAGCACATTAATAGGGCCATTAACACGTTGGCTTGGTTTGTGTCATGTTAATCTGATTGACACATTTGTGTAATTACTGCTCTATTGTTATTCTGCCTGCAGACTAAAATGATTAATTGATACTTTACTGGATACAAAGGTTATGTGTATGCATTAAACACCAAGGCTTGTAAAAAAACACAAATAAAAACAGCAGAGGCATTGTCAGTACTGATGTTTAAACTTGGTGCAATACATAACTGTGATCTGATGAAGTATTTCAAGTCACTGTTTTGGTATCCTATCATTATATGTAATTAGACATAGTTTAACGTAAACTAGTTTTGCTGTATCAACCTCAAAATAGAACATTTGTAATCTATGCTCTGCTTAAACACCCATAAGGATGTGTACAAAACTTAAAACAGATGAAATCCAAGACAAGATCTTCACCTTCATCTCTGTGCAGTTTAAGAATTCCAACTGCGTTGCCAGCTTGAGTTGTTGTTGTGATGAAAAAACATACTGCACTATTTCCAATTTTATAGTACTCTGCTCCACTGAAGCATCAAAGGCAAACTTTGATTGGATTTGTTGAGCTTTTCACAAAAACATGTCTCAAAGTTGCAGAAATGAAACAATGTATCCAACAGATTTTCCTAATGCTTGAATCCAATGTTCGAGATGTAGCAACGGCTAAATGGAAATTCTAGATTTCCATAAACATTTTCTGAACTACAATAACTGCAATATCGGGTTTGTCTGTGCAGAGCTGCTTTACTGGAGATGACAGAGACTTTAAGGAGCTGGTGTCTACATCTTTCAATCTAGTCTAACAAACATATCCTATTTGAGTGTTATACTAATACAAACACAGCGCCTTGAAAAATCGTTTATACTCCTTGAACTTTACCGAATTTTATTACATTCTAAATCCAGATTTCACGTTACTTAATTGGACCAACATCAACCAAAGTAGAGCGTAATTCTAAAGTGAAAAGAAAACGATATCAAAGCCATGTAAAAATATTCAGAGAAAGCATGGTGTGCACTGTTGAGGCCTTCTTTGGGATTACTGCATTCTGCAGAGCTAATTATAAGCATTGATGTATTCCACAAAATAAACTCCAGCAATTTTCAGAAAGTTCGGAGAAATATTTAAACAAAGACGGCAGAAAGAATAACAAACAAGGCTTTACCATTTAGACTGCGATCTGCCCCCTTTTTTTCCTTCTTACTGAAACAGAAATCATCTGTATTATTCTGACTTCTCAATGGTTCAGGGTTTAATTAAGTAAAAACTAAATTGAGAAATCAGAACTGATAGTTTTGCACATTGTGAAGAGACTGCAGGGTCACTATCCACAGCACAGAGGAAGACAGACGGTTGCAATGCTTTAAGATTTAGCTT